CTGACGGGGGCGGGGGGGGGGTCCAATTGGCGAGAAGAGGTATTAATATAATTATAGAATTATTGATATTTGGGTTAGTTTCATGGGAAAAATTTATGAAGATTATCGATGGAGATATTCGGAGAGTCTTCGCGTTCGCTCGATTAAATTGAGAATTAAATTAACATATCAACGAATAGGATCGATTTTTTTCGATATTAGGTTCATTGATAATTATTTAGTCATATCCTTTGGGAGACTTATATTTCCGTATTAAGATTATTAAGTCTGATAATTTGATTCAATTATTTAATCCCGAATTTCTAAATGTGAGAGAAAAAGCGCTAATCGGTGTGTTCGAAAATAGATCATCTATTATTTTACTTAAGTAAAATCTTTGTCAGATATAAGGATATATTATTTTTATTTCTGAGACTATCATAGTCTGTGATCTCATTCAAAGAGCATAGAAATATAATAGTTATATTTATATGATTATGATAAAGATCGAAGATTTCTCCGAAATATATAGAGAATTTCAAATTATTTCCTTAATCATTTCGGTAATTCTTGAATCTATTTTCATATATATATTAATCTTTCATTGCTCTATGAGTTCAATGATCCGAGTTCTGGGGATATTAGATATGGCAGAAAATTTATTTTTTTCGATATTAAAGTCATAATGAAATAATTCCCTGAATTAATTGATAGGGATCCTTTCCATATATGTAAATTCTTTTCTCATTTCCCGAATTCTTATTTCTATTTATTTTGGTTTATTCGATGAAAATCTATGGGAATAATCTTTAATGAATTATCCTTTATTATTTTGAATCTATATATTTATCTGAATAATCCCTTCAGGGAATTATTATGCATTTATATTTCGATTATATTTATTTTCTGAATATATAAAGTATATATCAATGATTGAAGATATGGATAAAAATCATCTATATATGGCATCAATCCGACGGATTTTGGTCTTATCAGATAATTGATCCCTTTTGTAATTATATAATGAGAATCATCGAAGATCACATTAAATGATGAAATTATTAATTTTTCCTATGAATCGCAGCTATCTTAATCCCTTAACTAAATTTAATGATAATCTCATCCATATCATAAGATAATTTCCGATCCTTTATCATTTTTTCTATTATGCGAGAATAGATCTATTAGTTCCTCAATAGAAAATACGAATAACACTAAATAAAAACAATCTAACATCTCATCATCCGCACATCATCATAAATAAACTGAAATTAATGAAAATGAATCTAAATGCGATAAGCAATGCCTCTAAAATGAACGATATCAAATAAATAATGGAGTTAACGTAGATAAGTTATAATGTTTCTGGATTAATGGAACCGACCTCGCATATCGACGCCAGCAGGAAGAATATCACGAAAGACATCAGACGCCACGCAAGAATAATGACTATTCTGGAATTTTTTCCCGAAGATGACTATTTATCTTACTCGCTTGCATTGCAATTATATTAACGCGCCACCACAAATAATAATTTTCTTCAGCCATAAACATGATACAACTATATATTGCTCGGAAATAACAGTGATATGAACAGTCACGTGACAGCCAAAGTAAAAAAAAAAGACTATATAAAGCGCAAAAATATTTACTCGCTTAATTACATATATTATAACTTCCTTAATAATAAAGATATTATAATTTTGAGACTATAGAATTGATTCCTAGCGTATATAGTATAGTTTTAATTAATACGATTTATATTAATTAGTATTGTGGTGGTTTTTATTTTTTTTTGTCGTGTTTGGGTCGGACCGACTGTAGATCGTAGATTCTCAGGATCTTGCCGATTCCAGCCACCAACCGACCCTGGAAGGGCTGGAGCGCCATTGGTTGTTCCTCGACCTTGGTCTTATGCATGAATTCCAGACCCTTGCCATCTCTATGAAACTGATAGACGTAGATATAGCCTCCAGAAAATTGCCTCGGGTTGGGGACTATGTCCTTCCCAGTGCCGACGATCAAGAAGCTCTCGCCTTCCTGGCTGGCAAAGGAGACTATCGAAGCGCTGACGGCAGCCTCGTTGCTTTTGAGGTCGATTATTTGAAGCACTCGGGGCTCTTCGCCAACAGGATCAACAATGCTTATGCAGGATGCCCATCTGCCACGCCAGCGGGGGTAACCAAACTCTTTTGGCGGGAGTACCTTAGCATCGCCATCGACATCGTTTGGATGCGCCAGCAATTGCGCACGCAGCTCCGGTGCTAGCGTATTGTTTTCAGATTCGATAATATCGAAATATGGCTGATCAGGGTGCTTGACAAGTTGTCGCGGGGTATATGTAAGAGGTAGCGATTTCTGGATTAAGTTGTTGCGTAGTTGTTCGATGGAGAAGATCCTAAATTGATTAGTTAGCCTTCTAATTATATAACAGCTGCATAGTGAGCATAAACTTCAAGGCAACAAGCTATGTCGGAAGGAACAATTGACACACGAATGAGTGAGTCAACTTTATAGCCAAAAAGGTATTAGAATACGTCTATTATCATGGCGACCGATGAAACAAGAGAAAGGCGTGCAGGGTAAGACTTACCGGAGGTGATTGGCGTGGATCCCGACTATACCCTCTTCGCACTGCTTACTGCTAAAGTTGCATCCCCATTTCAAGTCTTTGTAGCTCAGGGGTGTCATCACATCCAATGGCCAAGAAAGAGCTTCTTTGACGGCCTTCCAGCACTCGGCTTAAGCTAAGACAAGTTATTGTGCTGGACATCTCCTTCTTTTCATCGTACTCTGCGAGAGATCCGTCGCTACCCATCTCAAAGTAGACAATCTCTCCTGAACTCAGAGCCACGGCTACCTGCCGCTCATTCGTCGCAGCAGCAATTATGGAACGATGTTGGGGAGCCATCCATTCGTTTGCTAGTTTGTTTCGAATGTGTCGAACTCCTTTGGGGTGGACTTGAATGAGACTATCGTCACCGGTTTGCTGGACTGCAAGGGTTTCGACTGATGTGAGAAAGCCTGAATCAGTGGCTTGCGTGACTGTCTCTCCAATACTCAAGACCATAGTATCGTTTGAGAAGGCCAGGACAATGTAGGCGTCGTATTCATCTTCACTAGTAAGCTTGGTCGTCCAAACCGCAGAAGGAGTTTCCGGCAGCTCTGAAGCAACAATTTCGTGGACTTCCAAACCATGCTTTAGCATCCGAAAAGTGCTCCTTGCACCGTTACCGCACCCCGAGTATATCTGCGGAGCGTCTTCTCCCATCAGATTTGCGACCTTGCAATCTATAAGTGGATTTATAGAATCGATACTTTCAACTAACGCCAGATTCCCCAGGGACCGCGAATAGAAGTAGATAGGGTTATAGAAAGCGCGGGGATCAGTGGGAAAGTCGTCACTGGTAAACTCAAGTTCATCGTCGTTATCTGCAAGCTTTTCGAATCGATAGAAATAATGGTTCCCAAACTCGCTAGCGACGAATAGAAATCCGCTCTTGAGAATACAGAGACTATTCGCAACCGGAATAGTATCAAAGTACTTGATCTTGATACGTTTCACCTCTCTAGTTAGATTACCATCGCTGTCTTCCAGCATATCAAGCGTCACCTTGAAAAGGTCTCCGTCTTCGGTTTGAAGGAGGAAGAAGAATGCACCAGTGCTACCCTTCAGTTTGTGCATTACTCCCGAAACTATAGTGCGCTTCCGTTGAGGGTCCTCTGTAGCGCCTCGCCGTCTCGGGATAGGGACACGAAAAGCCTCCTGGTTTGAGTGTCTATAGGTGACACTTTCCTCTCCACACACAAGCACACTACTTGGACTATCGTTTTCGCCTGGGATTTGAAAGAGTAGGGTTGATGTTTGGTTGACAGGTTCCGACCACTTGCGGACAATATGATTTAAACCGAGATCCAGCTCATAGTAGACAAGTTGTATCTCCACTTCTTGATATGCCTGACCTGATGCATCCTGGTCTGACTCTGAGTAGTTCGTCTCTAAAGCCGCGAACACAGGATTCGCATAGCCAACATCGAGAGCAACGAGGGAGAAGACAAGGACACCGTGGTTGTGAGCCTCGAGAGGCGAGGATATGGTGAGTTCGGCTTGGGCGTTGCGGTTGAAAACATAAACGAGCTTATTCTTCTCAACAGAGGCGATGAGGCATGCTCTGCCCTTGGGATCTGCAGCAAGGTATTGACCTGGGATGACACGGCGTACGCCAGACTTCCCAAATGTCTCCAAGTGGATACGAGAGAAGGGGTTTTTGGCCGGAACGTACTCGATGACAGCGATGCGGCCTGAGTCAGTGGCTAGGATGATATAGTCTAGTTTAAGGCAATATTAGCATTATATTCATGACGCCGAACACTAACAAAGTCGCAAATTCCGCCAGCGGTTGGGTTCGTGTAAAAGCTCCAAGGGACTAGTTGACAGTAGGCGCTTACCCTTGGTGCTTCCTGCAAGGCGGAACGAGACAATAGATCTGATCACGCCAAAGATGTCATGTGAGACGAGCGTTATGACTTTGCCCAGGCTCGGATCTGGACGAAGGATGGTCAGGCAAGAGCCCGAAACCGTGATAATCTGCTGTTCTTTTGTGCCAGAGAACTGGCCGACGATCGCCTGCGTGATGGCAGACGGCGGCTAGATCGTCAGCGAGTAGAGGAACATGTTTGATGTGGTCGCCATTGTGAATATATTGGGACAAAGAGGGCTGCAGCCTAAAGAGCTTCGGAGTGGTAAAAGGTACAGTAAAAACTCGCTGTAAGGATAGGGTTTTTGTCGCCGATTCTTAAGGATATGCCGAGGTATCCCTATAGCGAGGTGTGGCACAATAGCAAAACTAATCACTGCGGGGCCAGCAGATGTATCCTTAAAAACAGGATATCCTTATCTCAGGTATCTTTATCGCGAGTTTTTACTCCGTCTGCAAAAAACACGTGTTTTGGTGCGGGGTTCGGTTAGACTGTGAATCCAGGTGCAGAGGCGATCTAGCACACGCCTCAAAGTTTCGGGTAAAGTAAAACGACCCACCCCCCCCTTCTCGGGAGTCGATTGGGGCAGGGGTATTAACGACTTGCAATTGTCTACCTAAGATCTTTAAATATAAGAAAGCTAGTATATTATAAGGCTTATAATATAATCGCGTGCTTTTTAACTTATAATAAAAAGATTTCTTATAATAAAAAGATTTCTTATAATAAAAAGATTTCTTATAATAAAAAGATTTCTTATAATAAAAAGATTTCTTATAATAAAAAGATTTCTTAAAATAGAATTTTAATTTAAAGGAATTTATATATTAGTTAATTAAGTTTTAGTTTTTAAGCCTTATAAGGCCTTACAAATTTGAAGCTTATAGGGCTCTTATATTTAGTTTTAGGAACTTATTTGCTAAATTTCTGAGCTTATAAAAGATTTACTTTTTAACCTCTTTAATTTAAAGAACTATTACTAATTTATATTTTAAAAAGGGAATAGCTCATAATTATTTCAAGAATATATTCTAGTTTATATTTCACATAATATAATAACATTCACATAAATTAATTATATATAAAAGTTCTCTAATATTTATTTCACAAAATTCCTCGCTGTCTTGCTGCCTTCTTATTTGACTCTAGAAGTTTGCTATCATTTTCCACTACTAGGGTTTTGAATAAAGAATCCTCCTCAAGCAAATCGTCTCTCTCAGCATCTAGTGATACGTTAGTGTATTCAAGTGGCCAATTTGAGGATGAAGACATACGAAGCCAAAACATCTCGGTTTTGATATTGCAGAAAGATTTGATCAGCTCAGAATCTCTGCCAAGCATTTTGGAGATTTCTTCCTTCCGCCAGTCAAATGTAAGAGGGGTGGTTGTTTTGTAAAGTGCTGAATAGATGGAAGTGATTGCGTTGTAAAGATGCCTCCCAAGACTATAGATCGGGCCTGTTACTAAGAAGTGTAAGTCGTCGGGAGAAGAAATAAAAATTTGCTTATACCTACCCGACGCTCTACCTCCATAAACAGACCATATGAAAACCAAGTGGGACTTGTAGTATAGCAACAAAAGCCACAAGCACACCCATATGGCGATTGGATTCTGGCTCCCGATGCTTTGGGAACTATGCAGTATTCTCTCAAGTTCAGAAAGTACTTCAGCTTCCAATTTCACAGCTTCTTTCATAACGAGGTTTTGTATTTGAGACTGCATTGCCCAGGATGCAAACTCTGTCTCAACGGAATCTTTTGTCTGCTTCATGATCGGGCACAGCCTGTAAAGACCCAGTAGAAGTTTCATGTGTATTACCTTTTTCAAAAGACTTTGCTGTGAAGAAATTACTACTCATTTATTCATCAAACGAATGTTACTTACTAGTGGTAGATTGCGATCTTTATTGGAATAATCTTCCGCAAATTCGCTGAATGCTTTTTGCAGGCCAGATAAAGGGCCTGAATCGCAGAAATGGTGTCGAGTTTCTCTGCAATAAAGCAGCTCTTCAAGGGGTGGTAATGAGTCGAAAATGAAAGCGCTATTACCATCGGGGATTACGGTTTCTTCCCGCTCCCGATAATTCCAAGACACAAGAACCCTTGCGATGTCTTCCGAAACCGGATGCGGCTGGTAATCCTGAATTCTGACTGCGAAAAATGTACTAGACCTTCCGCAACAAGATGGATACGAAACGTAAACCGTCTTCTCTGTGTGTGGGATACGTGGGTATACGGTGAAACTTGGGGCGTCGTCGCTCCTGTAAAGGTCTGTCGTTCGGACTGTTCAGGATGAGACTTTCATAAAGTCTAGATAAGCATACCGATATTATTAAAACGCACTGCCATCAAGCTCTGTCTGCTACAGATCTCGTGCCCAAGTCCAGTATTCCCAGCTCGCTTGAGGCATTGCTGGCACGGTAGCCCGAAATCGCACTATCGGGTGATTAGTTCGTACTCCTTCAGGCTCATGATGGATCTTGAACTGACTGCTGCTTTCCGAAGTTTACATCGAACACATGCCCCAATCAGCCGGTTCAACGCCACCTCTTTCTTTCGGGTTGGAGCAAAAGCCTTCCTTCGCCTCGGCACAACATTCTTGTTCTGGTCAGTAGAGAAAATGACAACATGCTTCTGCCATTTCCTTCGCTTTATTGCAGGACTTTCGTCGCCTTCATCGAGTACTGCTGTCTTACTCTTGAGATAACCCTTGGCAAAAGGCAAAGTCGCACTTGACTTTAGGCTTGCCGAATCCGAGGCGTTCGAGGCTTGGGGGGTCGGAACCACGTTTTCCTGAGCTGAAGGGGCCGCACTGCCAGAGTCATTCACAGGGGGTAAGCCGGAGCCCCAAGGAGACTGATCTACTGAAAGAATTTGGCGGTAAATTGGACCCTGGGTTTCTGGCGGTGAGCTTGGGGCTTCTCCATGCCCGAACCCAGAGATAGGATAGTCTAACAAGTCGCAATAAAGGCCATATTCTCCGAAGAGGTCATAGGTTGCCTCTGGAAAGAACGTAGAGTAGTCTTGCAGATCATGTGTGTGATCGAAGGAGTCCATCGCGGCGGGTTGTTCGAAACTGAGAGGATTCGATTCAGGGAATAAGTAGAGACTGATGTACTGGCAGATCACTGTCTGCTTCTTGAAGAGTGAGGAATATGAAGCTTATATAACGTTAGGTGATAAGGCTTGCCATGCTAAGCGAGGCTCGGAATCCGGTGACTAGAATAGGAAATCATGGCGTTTTGGTACGAAGCTTGCGCTACTGGTCCAATCAGATGGCCCTAGGCTGTCCATTAACTCCCCGGTGAGTAGAATTTCTACTTCAAGTCTCCGAACTCCCAAACGCCCCTGTAGTTGCTGAACTAGCAGATGTTTTTATGAGGTTGTAAGAGAGTTATATTCTTAGAGTCGTTGAAACAGATCTAAACTAATATATTTAAAATCCAGCACGTGACCATGAAGGGGTTACAAGCCCCATCCAACAGTAGTCACTTCCTTTGATCTCTTCTGTTTAAACGATATTGTTGCTCCATAAACAATGCTAATGTCAAATGAGGAAGGAAGCCTTGAGCTAAGCTTCTAGTAGTCTTAATCCTTTATTCACTCCTAGCTTAGAAGCTATTTAGCTATTATTTCAATTGCAATACTAGCTATAGCGGAGGGAGACAGAGGGGATTCAAAAAATCAAAAAAATCAAAAAAACCTCGAAGCTAGTATAGTGGGGAATCAGGGGATGGTCACGCGGCTGGTCACGTGCTCTCGGCTATGCATCTCCTCCTGTATATAGCTCTCTCCTCCTCTCCTTCTCTCCTTCTCACCAATATGGTGTCCTGAGTACTCGAGTTCTTATATATATATATATATATTAGTGTCCCCGCGTGCCCCTCTTGACTAGGTGCCTGAGAGAGAATTAACAATGTTTAATATTATAGTTAAAGATAATATAAAGCATAGTTAAATATAACTCCCTAGTTCAAGAGGCTCAAATGCAGGGCCAGACGAGAGCAGCCCATGAGAGCTACAGAGGGCGCGTGTACTACCCACTTTTTCGGTATCTAAAGAGGAAATAAATAGTCGCTAAGAGACACTTATTGCGTTTGAAGGAGAGGGGATCGTTAACTGGTCTTGCTTCGCTCGACCTCCCTTCTGAGCCTCCTTAGTCCTAGAGTCGTCTCGCTTCCCTTACGTAATGGTCCCCCCCCCAAAAGCACTTAAAAAACGTAGATTTATGTTAAAATATATCCTACTTAAGGGGTAGACTCTAATCCCCGTCGCGCGATCGCCCCTCCTTCTCTTTATACCTTTACCGAGGCCGGTTTTAGTCACATGTTGGGTCACCCGTCTCGAGCAGCAGCTTGACCACAGCCTCGTACCATCCATTAGCTGCCCTTGGGAGCGACGCCTGGCCGCCCTTGTAGTATGGTGCAAATGATGAGGAATTTGGAGTAGGCTTGAACGGAAGTGATGCGGAAAGGGACGATGGCTAATGCAGATATGACTTACTTGTGAGCTGAGATCGATGTGCTAAACTTAATGACTGCGATGAGCTGAGATTGTCTAATGTTAACGGACTGAGCATTCATGCCACACGATGTCTGGAAAGAGAAGAAAGCATCGCCAACGCATCGTTCTGATATTCACAGCACTAGGGACATTTCAATACGGCTACACGGTTCTGCGGCCAACCAACGTGAGAGGCTGGAGATACATTGGCAGTGATATCCTCAGCCCCCAAGACTCGACACTAGCCTTGATAGCTCAAAGCAAAACATCGAGGGGGAAAGTGGACAATTGGTGGTGTAGGCTGTAGAAGATGGTAGAATAGTCCTTGCGAAATGGAAACGAAGTTTAGCAGGCTTGTACTTGTAGTACGACCACTGAATTCCCGAGAGCCGACAGCCGACTCGGTCTATCTCACGGGATACAACCTTCTTTCAAGCAGCAACAATCCTGATGCCCTCGACCCTGCATCTTCTCTTCGAAGTTAACCAAATCAACAAACCAAGTCCCAGTTCTCATCAACACCTCGGGCCATAAAGTGGTACCGAAGTAGGGAAGGGGAACGATTCAGGATGGAGAGGGGAGGTGTTTTGGTGATAGGGAAGGGTTGTTTATTGTCGTTGCATCGCTGAAGCCGAAGGAAAAGCTTTGAATGAGACAAAGACTCGAAATTTGGACGAGGAAGCTCAAGAGCCGTCGTCGGCCGAGAATGGTCTCCGAACACTCTGCGCCCAAAAGCTCGATCTCACCAATACATCAACCATCGCCACGCTTTGCTCAAAGTTACCTACGTCCTACATGAATTCACCATCTGCACCAATTCGTAAACGTTGGGCTCGACAGCCACCAGATCCACGTTCAAAGCCCTCACGTAGGCATAATTTCTTCTCTGTACGATGATTGCAACATGATGTCCTCTCCCACCGGACCCCAGGAACAATCTGGGCGCACTACTATGCTATCCGAGCAGGTGTTGGTAAAGCCGATGTCTCGAGTGGCTAGTAGCGGAAGAGACGGCGAGGCTGGCCCCGGAAGCAAACGTGAGGTTGGCTACGAAGAGACATCTAAGTGCAATTAGTGCGTGCTGATTGGGGGCCTTGACAATGGGGTTTTAGTTGAACCATATTATCAAACTCTGCATATGCTCGTTTATTTAGCTGAACCATAGTATCGCTTAAGGAAGCGAGACAGCTAGCCGAGCAAATGAATAGGTTTTGTGGCCATTATATTTTAGGCATACGCTCTGTATATACTCTGTATATGCTCTCCTTATACGGGCTAGGAAGGTTCGGGTTAGTCCCGAGCTTGCGAGGGGGCTTAGGGTCAGGGGTTAGGGTCTGGGTTAGTCCGGGGGGTTGGGGGGCGGTGGGAGCCCCCCGTATTGGGATATATTAAAGCGTAAAGGCCTTACGGGTTAGGGTTAGTATATGCCAAGTATATGGATTCCATATACCGAGCATATACTAAAGGCAATAGCAATAATAAAGCAAAGTGTGTCTAACTTATATACTTCTTAGTAATAAAGGTCGAGTATATATTTAGTATATGGGTTCCATATACCGAGCATATGCTTGAGTAATAGTAATAGTAAAGCAAGATATATTCTAGCTTACTTATGTGCTTCTTAATAATAAGAGTAAAGCATGTGCTAGGTATATGGGTTTCATATGCCGAGTATATACTTGAGTAATAATAATAGTAAAGCAAGATATATTCTAACTTACTTATGTGCTGCTTCTTAGTAGTAAAGGCTAAGCATATGCTGGGAGTATGCCTGGCGGGCCGTTGAGAGGAGGTCGGGGTTGGAAGGTGGGTATAAACGAGGATAGGTGTCTATATATTATTAAAGATAGTAAGTATAGTGTAGTTTTTGGTGAGGGAAGTTGAACCATATTATGGAAAATACAAGGGTATTCTCGCTACTGATAATATTGTTCAACTTAAGCGATACTATGGTTCAGCTACTGGCTCCTTGACAATAGGTAATTGGTGAAGTACGAACTGCTGATGTTTGATAGTAGTGGATGGATGCAAGAGCTGGGTGGGGTGTTGGACGCTTGTTAGTGTTGGATGGATGTCAGTGCTAGATAAGTGGAAGTTTTGTCTATCTACGCTCTCCAAGCTGTTTGAATTTGCACGAGCAGCGGACCTGGTTTATATACTCCAAAGACATAATGCCTGAATGTTCCCGAGAAGACGTTGATAAGGGCAGTACAGTGGAAAGACAGTCGCGAATTTAGTCGATAGCGTCTCCTCAACCGTAATAGAGATCGAAAAGATTCGCTTCTCGGATCCCAGCACACATTATTGGAAGTCTGAAGCTGGAGACTCGACGTCGAACTGCAATAAAGCTTCACAAATAGCCAGATATCACCCAGATGACGGGTCTATCCCCTAGAGAGTTTGTAAGCGGACTGCCCACAATAGCAGGATCCGTAAACTTGTACAGAGCTTCAGAAGAAGATCTGCGCAAAGGCCATGGGGGGTCGCATATATCTCACGAGGGTCTAGAAATAGGCAAAAAAACCAACCTTTCAATTCTGCTATTCATCTTTCTCCCTACAAGTACTACAGAGCTACTTCCCTGATGGTTCCCCCGAGCCGGTGGCAGATATAGCAACGAATGGTCGTTTAGGATCGTTGGTGGGGGAAATTTGGTGGTTAGCTTGGGTGTTCAAAGATTTATGGGGGAAGAAAGTGGGGCATATCACGAGAGGCAGCTCTAGAAACATCTTGCAATATACGCCGTGTCTCCAGGCGAATGTTTTGATGGCGACCGGATGCCTGGCTAAAAATAACTAAGGTTCGGCCCGTAATGGATTCCTGAGCCAAAGCCACAAACGCCAGCAGCTTTCTGCCCCGCGATTTTGAGCCACAAAAGCCCCACCACAAATATGTCGTCACCTGCATATCGGTCACAACAGCTAGCTCCGAATAATGTAATACCGTATGGGCTGGTCAGCTTGGACTTCAGTTGAGGAAGGTTCACATGCATGAACAAATCAAAGGGAGTGTGGTGATAATTTGATAGAATTTTTAGCCTCTGCATTTGCATAACAGAAGTGGGAAAACCCAGCGGGAAAACCACTACCGAGACCAACCTGCTCGTTGCACCACCGATCCTCATACCAATGACTCCCGCTGTTGAAAGAAGGACAGGAGGTATTCGCGACGATATTAACAGACGTAACTAATACCACAAGCCCGCTGATTATCCAATGCCGTCAACATTTGTCGCTACAATAGTAAATATGCTATTATCTGGAGCGAATACTTACACACCAGTAACCACAATCACCAGAACAGCACTGTATATTTAATTCCCTCGTCAGCTTTGTCGCTTGCAGTGAATATACTATTAACTAAAGAGGATACTCACACCGAAGGAAGCACAAGAAGCAGGAAGACATGATTGTGGCGCTGGGTCTACCAAAGAACCAGCATCTATTTCCGACGCTGGCGCTGCCAGTGCCACGCCAGTAGCCAGCGCAGATAGGAGGTAGAGAAAGCGCATTTTGGTAGATGGAGTTCAATGAGGATGGCGATGTTGATTTGCACTTCGGCGACTTGAGTGGTCCTAGTTTGGTAGATTTGATGTCAAGCTCTCGCGTTGCTCCCGGTGCCTTTATACCTCTCATTAACACTACAGGTCCACACGGTTCGACATATTCTGCTCTAGGAAGGAAGGAAGATAGTAAAGTAAGACGGTTTATCAATTGTCCCGATTAGATTAATTGTGCTTGAGACTTTTTATACGGCGAGGCTATTTAGAACTTAGCGGCGGCTTGTTAGTGGGTGGGTTTGAGTTTGAGTTTGGAGCTGCAGACTAGTACAGGCTCCAGGTAGGACAAGTAAATAATCGATCCGACTAAAACGCAGATCAACACCGCAAGGAGGTGGTAAGACTACATACCCGGCACAGCCCCGGAGTAAATTTCAATGAAGCTGACGCACATGGCCAGATGCAACATGATACTCAGTCTAGAGAGGAGTAAGCCTCTGACTTCTGCCATGAAAGCCAAGAGTCAGCATTTTTCTTGTCTCTAGGAGTATGATCTTGGGTTCATCCGTCACCGAACGCAGGGTAGGGAATAGTGTGACTTCAGTCCAGTGCCACCGCGGTGCCACCGCAGTGGTGCTGTCTAATATAGCTATAGTCTAGTTTAGTGGAAGATATATTGCACCGCGCTAATAACTAGTAAATAAGATCCTATAGGCTAATTATATATTACCGGATCTAGAAGAGCTATATATAACAGCTCAAGCTAAAAGTAATATCTGAATATTATAAGATAGCCTTCTTTTATACTATAAAAAACTCTATATTACAGAGAATAAAATAAGCCCCAAACTATTTTTATAGACTATTCTAATCCGTAAATTATATAATAAACCCGTTTCTGGATATTCTGGATATATAAAGCTCTATTAGTTATTTAAGAAGTAATATTACTAGTTATTTATAAGCAAGAATATTAATTAATATTATAGTAATTACTATACTTATAAAAGATTATATATACCAAGAAATAAGGAGCCTAATTTGCTTTATTCTTTTCCAGTTTCTGATTATTTCTAGTAATATATTACTATAGACTTTAAAAGCTGCCCGGAAAGCAAAGTACGCTATAATATAGTTACTATATTTGTGGATTACTTATTTAAGTATTTAATTACAATTCCTATATAAGATATAATTATAGCCAAGCAGCTAGTATTTCTGTTTTTACTTTATATAATATATTAAATAGGCATTCTAGAAACAATTATATTAAATTAGGAATTTCAATTTATATTTAATTTTTAAAGTAAATTCTATATAAGAATTAGTATTAAGCTCAAGCTCTTAATAGCTAATTATTCTCAAGTAGATAGCATAATACGGCAAGCCGTACTCTATTAAAATCGCTTTATTTTAATGGTTTTGAGGTTTTGGTTATATAATAAAGGCCCCAGCCTTTATTATATAAGAAAGCTAGTTTTTTTATAGTTCTAGATAATAATCTCTCCTTTATATTTAATTAATTAAGCTTTTGCATACTATATACTATTTATACTTTACTATTTCTGCCTTTATTTCTGTTATTTTATTATTAAGTCACGTTTTATATTCTAGTATACTTTATATAGGTTTTTGTCTTATTATAGTTTCCCTCTTATAATACTCTATACGAATATTCTTATAATTTCTCTCTTATAAAAGGCTATACTCAAATTCATTACTGAAATTACTATTAGGTAAGTAATAATACTATTCTCTCAGATTATTCTAATTAATTACTTGGCCCGGAGTACCTATAAGCTTAATAATAATATCCCCGTTAATAATAGCCTTATTAATGTCCTAAAATAGCTTCTGTGCCATTATATTTAGTGGGAGCCTTCCGCTAGTATTATAATTAATGAAATCTTTCTAAGAACCTTTATTATATATTGCTTTATTCCGGAAGTAGTAAGTTTATATACTAGTAATAGGATCTATAATAAGGTCTTTAAGACAAATGCGGCAATCTCTACTATTAATACCGAATTTGCACTTAATAGCTTTATTAATAAGACATACTAATCGATTCTTAATGGTTTTAATAGTTTCGGAAAGGCTGCTATATCGGTCGGGGTTTTGGCAGTTTGTAAGTTAGGCGCTTTATAACAGTTTGTTATTTAACCTGAATCCTCACCTGCAAGAAATCTATTTTTGTTCGAAAAGTTGAGCAGGCTGCTTTATTAGTAATACTGTATTAGTTAAGGTGAGTGAAAGTGAGGTGAAGGTGAGAGCAATAATAGATAAAAGGCGACTTGTTTTAGTTCCTTAGTTATAACTGCCATTAGCTAAAATTACAAAAATATTAGTTAAGGATTATTTTAGAGCCAATTCTAGACCTCTGTTAGGCAAAGCTATATCCCCTAATTCTATTAAATCTTATAAACTTAATCTTATTACTTATTATATAGAAATATATTATATTAATTAATTAATTAATTAATTCCTGACTATACTAATATCAGCGACCCCCTAAGCCTATTTTAGACTACCTAGTGGCTCGAAATAGCGGATATGAAATAGTTATAACTGTTAAACAAACCGAACTTAATACAAAGATCCAGAACTGCGAGGATATTACAAAATGCGTCCCTTTTGTAGCGTTATCAACGTCGTTAAGCTGTGATTGAACAAGACTAGAACTGAAAAGAGTCTAGAAATATTAATCTTATACTCTCTATACGCTAAGGGATTTCACTAACCGCAATTAGAGAAGCAGGTAAATAGAGCGTTGCAACAATACTAAGGATCTTCAGCGTTCTTGAATCTTTATGGCCCTGCCGTGCAAGTTGGGTCAGTGTCGTATTGTCCCCGTGAATCTGAGAGGCGGTGCGTTGTAAGATATCCAAGTTATTTCGCATGGCCTGGGCAGCTTCTTGGAGATTCTTGTTGTCTCGAATGTCTAGGATTTTGGAGAGCTGATAACTATTACGTTAATCATTAATCACTATTCTAGAGAGTAGACTGCTTACCAATTGGTTTGTTCCCAATGAATACTCTAAGATGCGGTTGATATCAATGCTATGACGTTGTATCTGTTGGATATAGACTTCGATCTCCGTTAGTAATTGTTCGTCTTCATCAATCACTTTTAAAGCGACTAGCTTGCGGTAGTGATGACTGCAACCTTTTACAACTTCCAAACATGAAACGAGAACGACTGAAGTTCTAAGGAGCTTTTGTCGAAGTAACTGCAGATTCTGAATGTCCTGGAGGCTGACTTGGAAGTCATTGCTAGCCTTGCCGTTTATGCACGAGAAACATGCCTTTTCGTCCTGCCAAGGACCTCATTAGCACTGACCTTATAGCGAGCATTATGGTTTATTTACTAATACTGAAAGCTGCACCTGCAAATGTTCGAGATACTCCTGCCAGTTTACAGCCATAGCCGAGATAAAGATAACGTGTGGAACCATCGGGTTGATTCGCAATTTAACGTTCTTTTGTGATCTGTTTCGTAATGTCTGGTCTAGTTGTGCGCGCATCCTGTCTGAAACTTGCAAAAGGACCCAGCTAGAGCGACAAGTCTTTAGACAGATCTGTTGATATACTCCACACCGTCGTAAAGACCATGGGTCTCCTCTGTTCCGTCCATTCAAATCTACATATTGTAAGTTGTAGCAGAATTCTGCGATTGCGCGTTAGCCTGGAGGTTTTTGATATAGACGAAATATACTTGCCATGAATATCTGAACCTTGAGGGTCCGCTGCTCTGGAGGTTTTCGATCTATACCCACTCCAGTTGTGAGTATCTTCATGCGTTTTAAAGCCATATGCTTGGACGAAATCTAGAAATGGCACGAATATGTGATGTGACGCAAGTAAGATCCTAAATGCGCGCAAGGAAACACAAAATCGTCCCCATGAAGATTGTTGAAAAATCAAGCTGCCATATTAATAATTAGAATAGACAAACCAGGAAGGGATGCACCTACTAAAAAGTATCTTGAGTAGAGGGACTTTTATTAATCTGGAGTGTCATTAATATATCACCTGACCTTGCACCTAGTCATGGTACAAACCGCAATTTGTTTTTGTAATCCAACAACATCTTCCACAACTGACGACTCAACATCTGCAGAGAATCAATCATCTGGCGCACCTAATCTTGGATCGAGGCGGTCTCACGCCCGGTTCCGGAAAGGATTCTGACTATGTCCAATCTGTCTCCTTGTCTGGCAAAAACCCGTTGAGACTCGGCGTTGAAAAATTGGTGATAACGTTCCACATCAACACCAACGGGAACATACGAGCCATCAGTTCCGAGCGGGTAATGATCGGTTTCCCGGTTTTGATGTTCAGTCATGATAATAATTCGCTGTAGGGAAGTGAGGCTTCGGTAAGATAGTAGGTGGTTCAATAGTGCTTGGACACGTAGGTTCGTCTCGTATTACGGGATTGCGACATTTAAATGTTGGTGTGGCGGGCAGGATTTAGGCAGCAATAACCCGCGTAGTAAGGCGTTTGAAACATGGTTTGTCACCCATTTAAATCGCAGTGCGCCTTACTAAGGCTCGTCTCTCTAAGGCTGATTCACAAAATAAGGCGAAACGTGCATATGTGCCCGCATGGTTGTGCAGTAGTTATCACTTTTGAGACTCTCACATCGTCTGACTAATACCGTAGTATTGGAGCTTTCATGTGAAGAATTCCTTGACAGCTGCCCTCCCGGATATTACAAAAAACATCAAGCAGATTCACAGTGAAAAACCTCACCTATCTGAAAACCCTCATCTACCACCGGTCCTGATAATTATTGTTTTTTTGATAGCAATTTCTTTGCACTTGTCAATGGAGAACCAAATCATAAGCAATCGATATATCAGACTCAACCAACTGCATACTCTACTTAAGCGTCTATTTGTAGCGGGGTACGAGGTAGATGTGCGTATATGCAGAGCTTCCTCTATATCAATAAACATCGTCTATATTATAGTCCTGATCTGATATTAACTTTATTTCAGGAGAGAGCGGAGCATTATCATCTTTCTATTCCACGTAAACTAACAGAGGGACGGTTATCTTAGCGCTACTATAGTTAGTATTACTAACTCTCCGCAGGAGGAAATCGAGTCCGTTTCTGATCATACACGCTAAGAGTTAGCAAGCGCTCTTAGATCTCTATATCTTGCATTCCTCTCAAAGTAAGGAATTTCCGTTTACCAGGCCATCGTTTGCAGTGTGTCTCCACAAAAAGCTAACGTTCAGGTCTTCACTTCACGCTTCACTCATGGCTTCAGCAAGTCTCAGCCTTGTGCTTGACCCTCCATCTTCCATTGACGAGACTCCACCGCAGACGTGCACCACAGAAGCCGAGCATTACGATTTCATATCTCTCCTTGGCCTCGCACAGAAATGGGATGTATCATTCCTCCCAATCACATGGCAGCCGGCTCTCGGTCCACTCGGTGAAGGAGCTTCGGCGGAAGTATACCAATCTACGATTTACAAGTCGCTCGCGCTAGCGTTCAAAGACTCAACGGCCAAAAAGACCGGCAAACGTAGGATCGGATTTAAGGATATTATGAGGGAGATACTTATTGTTCGAGCGCCGTATATTCGCAAGTCTCCAAACATAATTGACCTTCTCGGCATCACCTGGAACCAGGATCCATCCGAAAATCAGGTTTGGCCAGTTTTGGTGTACAGAAAAGGCACGTACGGGACTCTGCGTGACTATATATGCAACCCTCAGCGGATGAAGGAAACCTTACGGGAACGACTGACCCTCTGTTCTGGTGTTTTGTACGGACTCGCCACGTTACATTCTGCGGGTATGTCTTATTCTTCATTGGCCTTCAATATCTAAGTTCAGATAGGAGTTGTACATGGCGATTTGAAGCCCGAAAACATCATTATTCAGATGCATGGCAATTACCTATATCCCGCTATATCAGACTTTGGGTTTTCTTCCATCTCGAATTACGATGATGCTCTGATACAAATACCCTGCTCGCCTCCGTGGACTGCTCCGGAACACCATGTGAACAAGCATTCATTCGAGAAGGCAAAGCAGATGGATGTATTCTCCTGGGGGCTCATCTTGCTGTGGGCAATATTGGCAAGAGTGAAATTATCAGACCTGAGCTATAAGGCTCAGCTAGATGTCCTTTCGGCTCTCAAGTCGGAGCATAAACTCATAGAGACAGCCAGATCTACGCTTGACCAAGTTTTTGCATCACCCGCATTGGAACCTGATGATCGAGAGGTTGGCGGCCAACTTTTCCGTATACTGGAGCGCTGCTTACAACACGATCCACAACTACGTGCTAAAACAGCATGTGAAGTGCTCAGCATCTGCCCAGAGCCCTTAGACGGCGAACTTTTGTATGTTCCAGCCTTCCAACCGCAGGACGAGAAGGACCTTTGTTTGCCAACGCATACCTCTTTCACTGTCCAGAAGTCGATCTCGCAACTGTCTACAGTAGACTATAGAGTCCGAAAGTTCATTTTGGACGAGCTGTCACGCAGAACAGAGTACGCCTGTGATATCTGTAGAGAACGGGCAAGATACGAATCAGTCGTGGCATTGAAACTAGGTTTCGGCGGACACTCTATCCATAGGATTCACTTCGACAACTTGATATTCTCCGCCACCGATGATGGCACAGACCCATACTGCAGCCGTGCACTCCAGACTATACGAGATATAGCAACTTCTTCTAGTGTCAAATTGTCATTGCCAACCCTTGAATCCAACTCTGAGATGCAAAACCTCGAGGACCTGGTACAGGCAGACCTTGTGCACGAGTATCAGAGAAGACAAGAGTTGGAAATTGCGGTCGAGTTTTATAACAAAGAGATTGAGATACGAGGTGCTCGGCTTGGCGAAGATCATTCGCTAGTTCTAGTTCTTCAGAGCGCTCTATTGCTAGTCTATGAGGCCTGCGGCAACTTATTTGCATCTCAAGAAATTTCCAAAGCAATATATTTGTCATTGGATGGTAGCTTGGGACCCAATCATCCATCCACACTACAGGCAATGGCCCAGTATGCCCTCCAAAGCGTCAACGCTGGGCAACCGAGCCTCGCCATCTCCCTTGGGGAAGAGTTTGTGAGGAGGGGTGAGAAGACCTTCGATCATACAGACAAAATATATATCACGGGAATTTCCAATCTCGGCCTAGCATACTTCTATCTGGAGCTCTATTCAGAAGCCGAGACGGCATTTGAGACAGCCCTTGAACACCATGGAGCCGCTCCCGGCTCTAATCAAATGGACGGTTCGAAAATACAGATCAATCTTGCGCATGCAATAAAAGCCCAGGGCCAGGGTCGAATTCGGGAAGCTGAACAGCTCTTGGTCGAAGCCTCATCCCAATTGGAAAAGAATCTTGGCTATCGGCACAGAGACACTATTTCGAGTATGGCAGCCCGTGCGCTTTCATGGTATGCCGGCCCAGGAATGCCTAACAGTGACGTGGTCCAGTTCCATGATATCGTCACAGTAACCAAAGAATTCTTGGGCTCACAGCATCCTGACACATTGTTGATAATAGCGAACTATGCTGCTTGCCTGTCACGCTCTGGCTCTTGGGTTGAGGCAAAAACATTGTATGAGGAAGTCTTAGAGGCTCTACAAGATGTTCCAAGCGATACTCAGCTGCAACACGCAAATGTCATGGCTAGCTTCGCTGCTGGGTGCTCCGAAAATGGTGAGCTTGACAAAGCTGAGGAATTGATCCTCCATGTACTCTCTATTCTCAGGGGTGGGCTATCACCGTTAGGACCAAGGTCCATTTTAGCTCAACATGCTTTGGCTACCTTGATGAATGTTTATCGTCGCCGTGAGGACATGGTGAAAGCCGAAATGTTACTTATGGTCATCTGGGAAAGTATCAAGGGTGGCTTAGGCGACGCGCTGGCTGACAGGAATGTCCTGATCAACGTGAGAAACATTGCAGTTTCTTGCCTAGACAGAGGCCACCGACTGCCTGAGGCGCGCGACCTGCTATTGGAGTTGCTAGAAATCATAACAAGGTGCAACGGACCGAAGCATGTAGACACAATTGTCACTCGAAATGAGGTTGCTGAAAGCTTTCGTCGGCAGCGTCTGTATTCTAAAGCCGAGAAAATGCACTTGGAAACGCTCAAGATATGTCAGGAGGAGTTTGACCCTCACTATCCTATGACACTTGCGGTCATGTCAAATCTGGCAATGATATATTACTGGCAGCTAAAGGAAGAGCAAGCTGCAGACCTAATGTATCAGGTGTATCTCGCGGAGGCCGAAGCGCTTGGTCCGAGCCACGATGACACTGTTAGCTCTGCGGGATGGGTCGTATGCTTGCGTCGATATTACGGCGCTGATTGTAGTCCGGATATGTTTCCTGGAGTCTTCGACTCACACAAAAGGGTTGAGGGTACGGATCGAGATTCCATTGAGGCTAAGCTCACCCTCGCAGCCGCCTACGAAAGGCTTGAGCACGTGGACGAAGCACTAGAAATTGTACAAGGAGCGGTCAGAGCTTGCAAGAGGAGATTCGGCGACACGGACCTGTTGACCTTGAAGGCATGGACAAGACTTGCTGACACTTTGCACACTGCCTTTTTGAATTCAGCCTCTTCTTCTCAGCTAGAAAGAGCAAAGGATATCGCTACCTTTGTTTTTGAAGAGTACCGTAAGATCCATGGAGAGTATCATGAAGATACCGCTGAAGCAGAGACGCTCCTCGGCTTTATTTTGCGGGACAAAGAATTGTACGCTGAAGCCGAACTTCACTATAAACACGCGTTGCTTGCAGCCGAAATGTCATCGGGAGAAAATGTGTATTCAATCATCGGTAGATTGATGGATTTGCTTAGATTATATGAGAAACAGGGTGGAGAGGAATCGGCTCGAATCATATCAGACCGGATCACAAATTTGAAGAAGGAAATGGACCAAAACCGGACCCTTCATGTCAATCCGGAAGGTACAAACCTAGTGGCCAGGGCACACTCGCCAAGTGGCTTCAGGATTCTATCCTCAAAAGCCGACGCATAGCGAATGGACAGATTTTTCTCAATTGCCATAGGGCCCATGATGCCATTCAAACATTTTTTGACAACGCCCTCATAAGCAGCGCCCATTGATATAAATAGCTGGGGAACCTTCTCAGCCAAGATCCATTTGTGCATATCTTCAGGCGCACGGTCTTCGACTTTCTTGACTATGTCCTTTAGCCCCCTCCAGAGTCCAATTTTGAGCAACACAAGGCCCAGGCTATAATCATCATAGGAAAGTCTGAAACCCTCTTTCCCGGACGCATAGTCAGGATGTCGATAGATTACCTCCTCGAAATCCTCGTTCGGGGTTTCAGTGAACTCCCGTGGATCATCGGGACGACTGTGAGAGAAGCCAATGAGGTACGGATTCATTATGGCTTCTGCTTTTGGTCCTGTGGAAGACTGAAAAAAGAGGACATTGGAAGACATGATGGATCTGTGTAGCCAGCCGACCTTGTGGGTACCCAGGACTGTTTCAGCCAACAGTGCGGCAAGTTGAAATCGGTCATTGAGAGACGGTCGCTCTAGATATTTATCCTGACTTCTTGTTTCTATAAGATATTCATTGAGAGAAAATGGCTTATGTATTTCAGGACGATCTCGCTCGCGCTCCGGAAATTCGAAAGCAAGGCTAAAAGCAAGACGCCTTACTTCGCATCTGTAGCCAACGCATCGAAGGACACGCAGCGTTTGCGATACCAAACCATCGTGAAGCATGCCCGCCAGTCGCTGTACTCGCCCTAACAGTTCAGAGCCACGCTTCTCTGTCCAGCTAGAGCTAATTCTTTTGTATTCGACAAGGACAGGCACAGGAGTGTGCGCGCCTGGTGGAGCATACTCCGCTATTTCGTGAATCCCAATATCTCGGATTCGCCTGAGCGCTTCGATATTAATGACCAAGTCCGTACTGACCACATTAGATGCATCGGTCACTAAGCTGGACATTCGCTTGAGGGCAGTTAACGCGCCAATGTTTAGGTATCTAGGTGGATCCAACAAGGTTTCGCTGGACTGCGCAAAGGAATCCGTGCCTTCTGTTGTCAAAATCCTAAGTTCCAAAAGATTTTGAACTGAAGGGCGTAGCTTTTGTGGGATATTTTCGAAAAGTTCGTCCGTGACTCGTCTTATTTGCAAAGCTATGTATGGTGCATGCACGCGCTGTCCTCCATCAGAGAGATTCAATTCATCCTTCAGTTGTGACATTGTTCGGAGACTGTTTTCAAACAGCCTGAAATCGCTAAAGTACTCCTTGAAGAATTCATTTTTCGATCCGTTGAGTTGTAGGAAGCCCATCGCCCAGCCCCAAAGAAGAATCCGTTGATAGTCGATTGCCAGCCGAGGATCGGGGCGCCGGGTTAACAGCGACATATATGCTTGCTCAATAGAGTTTGCCATGGCGATAAGAGCCATCTCTCGTAATCGCAGTGTCACCTCGTGCGCTTTGGGTCGATGAGCAGCACTGATGGAAAGCATATGTTTTACCAAGTCAGTAAGTTGGTTCAGCTTGGTTCCAGACACTGTCGTCGCGGCCAATGACTTCAGCCACTTAAGGACTTGAGGATGATCCATCTCCTGCGAGGAATAGAAGCGACGGCATATCTGCGACCCTCCCATACGGAGCTCACGGGCTTGAAAAAATTGTTCTACGCCTGTCGGACCATTCGCAATGTAGGTCGCAATCTCCGCCAAGATGCACCCAAAAGACCATATATCGCTGGCACGAGTGACTCTACCAGGTTCGAACCCGCGTTCGGGATCTTCACACTCTGGAGCTTTATAGTTGTGTGCGCCATACTTGTAGTCGTCACTAGAGCGCTCGACTGATGATTTGAGTGTGGATAGACCGAAGTCGGCAAGTACAAATCTACGCTGTGAAACGAAAATGTTGCTTGGTTTTAGGTCATGATGACAGCCAATCAGGTCCACTTGTAGCTCATTAGAGCTATATGTATGCAACATTTCAAGAGCAGAGGACAAGCCAGCTAGAGCATGCAGATAGGCTTGCGGGCTCTCAAAAGAGCTTCTATCATCCGGTCGTTTCAAAAAGCGCGCGAGGTCTATTTCTGCCAAAGGGAATAAAAGGGTGTGTTCGTTTCGGAGGGTATACGATGCAAAGAGCTGTAGAATATATGGGTGCGATATGTGGTTGAGATATTGAAGGATGCGTTGTTCGCTTTCGAATTTCACGTCTTCCCTTGGAAGTTGTTTACGTATGATCGTGACGACCTAAAGATCATTTAGTACACAGACTGTTGGTGGAACCATTGCTACAACCTCACTGTCTCCTAGCTGTGAGGAGGACCACCGTGGAAGCTGACGTGTATCAACTTCTGTCTTGTATATAGCACCGAAACTACCCTCTTCCTTACTCAATCGTACCTCCGATATATATGGCAGTATGGTGTCGGCATGGAGCAACCGGTGCCCTTTCAGCTTGTCGAACACCGGCGAGATGAATTCCCATTGAAGCTCCACAAATTCTTTAGCGACTTCGACTCGCGGCGCTAGAATCTGGTGTAGATTATCATATGACCACGGAAGTTTCGCATCGAGAATTAAAGCTGTATATTGGTCTTGCTTCACAAGATCCCATATTGCAGCCTCCTCTCTTAGCATAACCAAAATGGCAAACGTTCTCTTTCCGCCCCGGTTAACGACCATACTAACTTCAGGAAAGTTAATACGATCTATCTTAAGCTTCGAGACGGCATCCCGAATAATGTCTTCTGACATTAGGCTCTCCACTTTGCCATCTGGTATAAAGTATCTTCCACTTGTACTCTTTGTTCGAAGTCCGCGAAGTCGGTCTCGTAGGCTCGCCATGCCAGCAGCCAGTGGGTATCGTCTATAGACCGCTCTGGTGGAATCGATCTCGTTTTATGCTTTCTAGTCGTTAATCGATATGCGGAGTAGCATGCGTCAGTCAAAACACGCGGCAGCGAAAAAACGAGATGCTCGCTTTGCGCCCGCGGTATGTCTGCTCCAGAAGAGATCACCCGGCAAGGCTGAGGCAATCGATGACGATTTGACGGGCGATCTAGGCTGCCAATGTACTAGGACTCGTGACTGTTTGACAACGCGGCGAAAGCCGGCTCTTGAACTTACATACCAGATGATGCTGCCGGATGTGACAACGTGCAAAGTATTATTGAGTGCCTAGAGCGTCTGCAAAGGAACAAGGGTGGGGATTTTGTGCAAATACCATTAGGCTGGCTGTGCCCGGGCCTGGCGCCCGATGACCATGTGACCATCCGGACAGAGCAGCAACATTTTCTGCGACGTCGTTCGGTGCCCAGGCACTCCGGAGTCACTTAAAGACACGGGGGTACGAAGTCAGCGCTAAAAATGGGTATGGTTGTCTGTGCTCACAATTTCTGTCACGTGAGATCCACACACATGACATACATTCACTCTTTTCGGTTGCTCCCGAGCCTTAAGCTCTCTTCATCTCTAATATATTACTTCACCCACCGCCTTTCTCCAACAGATTACGTTTGCTCTATAGTATAAAAAAAACACGCAAAACAAAGAGGCTTCTCTAAACTAGTAAGGCTAGCAGAAACAGCCCTTGTCGTTCAGCCGCTCTGGTGGGCCGCTGACGCCAGGACTAACCTTTCGTTCACGTGAGCACTTACATTACCTAGAAAGGAAGCGGAAATGCGTCGCCGGCCGTGGACCGTTTCTGCGCGCTCTACGTTCACAAGAAAGGACTTCGGTTCCTGGCAAGGGGCGTCTGTCCTGCTGCTAGCCCTGAATTTGCTCGTGTCAGTCAAGAAGGGGCGGTTCCGGCAGACGATCGCGTTCGACATAGCCGCTGAGATCCTGAAGCAGATGGCGTCCGTGACGGATCCTTTCGCGGCACAGGTAATTGTAGCCTCGATCTCCGCCTTCGCCTCGCTGGATCACTCTGCTGGGGCTGGAGCGCGAGGGCTCGGGGCTGCGTGTCTCGCCCTGCTGATGAGTGAGCTCTCTCTGTAATTGAGCCTGAGATTCCCGGACATCTGGAAGAGGAGTGAGCTGGAAATGAACCTCGTTGGTTATGAAAGCCAATAGTCGCGTCATCAAGTGGCACTGCGTTGACCTCATGAGTAGGATTTTGTCGTCTGCCCCTGAGAGTGTCACCCTAGCAATGCTCCAAGCATTCAACAGCGACTGTTTATTGGACGAGTCAGGGGCCTGTTTGGTCACATTCGAAGAGTGCTCATGGATCATGATCGTGGAACCAGATTCCCATCTGATATCCTTTACGGACAAATCTCCGGTTGGTCTTGATGACGAGCTCTCAACGCTTCAGTACCCTGTGTATACAGTGACTAGCCTGGCGAACCAAGGGTTCCCAACAGTCCACTATCGTGGTTTTGACTCCAGGTCAATTAGTTGGTGGCGCAGCCACGGACTCCAGAAACAGGAGGGACACATCGATGTCCAATCTTTAATTGCTCAGATCTAGGATGTAAGCAGGGGCAACTAGATTGCTGGTCCTCAGTGTATATTTCTGCTCTAAGCTTCAATGCGAGCCTCGTGTCTTGCGGTCCATGCGCCCGGATTATGTAGCATCTAAAGGTTTCAAACAGTGAAAATTTCTCAGCCAATGTGAGCCGAATAACCTTAAATGCCTTTCAACATCGGTGTAAGTGAGTCTTGACATTGTGGCCCTCCCCTCCCCCTCCCCCTGCTATTTTCCCTAAGTACTTCCTCTCTCAACCATAACATTGACTCCATTTGACGACTGCCCAGGCTTGGCTTGCGGCCTCCGAAACATCTCCCTACCTCGCTTTCTCACAAATTTCCTTCCATTACCCTTCATGGTCTCAACTCAAGGTACATTCTAGGCACCAAATGAGGGAGGCAGCAGGCTTTGCAATGTTCCCTTGTCCTGTGAGCGATAACTCAGCTCCGTATTAGATTTGTGACGAACATGAGCCAGCGGATTCAGTGAGACATCTCAGAGTGGTCGCTGGGGGGGCAGTAGTCACGTCTTAGAGAGCAACCATCCACGAGAAACCCGCAAAAGGTGGGGGGGGGTCATAACCTCTTCCCCAATCAAGTTCAGCAGCACTAGCACTCAAGGGTTGCAGTTCGGTTCTGGAACCCGCGCTTGCGGACACCCCACTTGAAACACACACTGACGGCGATATAAGACTGTTAGTTGAGTACAACAGTTCCATGTGCGAGTAAAAGCGACCAGCGTGTCTCCTCCTTCATAGTGAAACTCCAGGAGAGATACGGGCTACTAGTCCCGCGGTTGTTATAAATGACAGCATGCCTCTTCACAATGAGGTACTTCGAGCGGTGTATCATGCCATTCTAGGCGCCTTGAATGGAAGATTGTGTGGAAACAGAGATAGGTTTCCGAATAAATCCAAGATAAACATTCCCATAAGTTGTGAATCCGGTCTCTCTGTTTCTGGTGCGCTTCGTCTGTGGTCGACTGAGATTCATTTGTTGGAGAGGAGCAGGAAAAGGGGGTGGCGGGTTATTACGTGCATCACCCCCTGGGTCGATCCGGGGCGGCGCGCTGCATCTACCCGCAACACGATTCTGCACTCGCCCTTTTGCGACTTGCAACAAGATCTTGAATAATTTGTTCACTCTAGTTTCACGTGACAGCAGCATTCATTCATCTCCCTTTGCAAGTGCAATCTTGTACGGTGTCCCTAAGAAAGTTTCATGGCCAAACCACCGGAAGACAAGTTTCCAAAGCACATGAATTGTCGAGGGCTTCGTACTGAGTCAGGTGACAACACTCAGCATCGACAAAGCCACTATCTGATGTCAAAGGACAGAAACAAGAGAAGCGGCTCGTTCAAGTCTATGTTCAGTTCTCTGCGCACCAAGTTTTTACATACAGGTAACACGACGCCTCCTCATCTTCTCGGCCACTGTTTCACTCTTTGTTGCACATCGTATTCCATAAACATTCTTCACGCCCCCAAGAGAAGAAAACTTCCTCTAGCGAACAAATGGGAAGTCCTCCCATCAGGCCGGCATTGGTGACAGAAATCCAATGAAAAATCTGGCCAGAATTTTGACGCATATCGCAGAAAACCACCTTTGCAAATCGGCAGACCCGATTCTCGGGATCAGCTTGTGTAGCGAACAAATAGGAGACAGTAGTATATGCCCCGCCAGCAGTCGGTGGTCTCGCGACATCCAATCAATCCTGGGCACCTGCATTTCGTTGCACATCGGAGTGGAATTTTGCTGTCCACATGTTCGCCCACTTTTATTAACGAGCAAATGAGATGGTTTTGCCCAAGCCCGCAAGCTGCAGGAGGGTTCCCGGGCCGAATCATTGGGAGTTGGTAATGACTACTATTGCTGCGCGTTGCACAAGCTAGCGAGTAAATAGAATAATAGTATTCATATTCTAAGCGACTTAAATATATAAGAATTGGAAATAGCGAGTTAATTAAGGGAAAAAGGCTATTATACTAAGTTTAGCTGATTATAGGGGAAAACTAAAACGACCCCCTCTCTGGATATCGATTAGGGGTGTCGATTGGGGCGGAGGTGTTAACGACTTGTAATTGGGTATTAATGTAACGGCGGGATCAATGCAATGGTCAAAGGCTCAAAGTTCAAAGAATCTCATATATTGGAAAATACTAAGCTATGGAATAAAGTAGGGAGGATACCTCGACCTTTAGTATTATTCCGTCCAAGTAATTCCGGCTTAGCTTCGTTTTATACCTGTTTCCGATATCCTGTCCTTGGCAGATCATACCCTTATACCAGCCGTTATATTCCCCCCCTCTCAAAGAGAAGTCTAAATGCCCTTATTTAGGGGATTATTTAGCTATAGTATAGAAAAGAAAAAAAAGGAAATAATAGCCATTAACCCTATTCTATCTAATTCCCATAGCTTACTTGTAATTAAAGCATAGTCTTAATTTCACTAGAATAACCTAGTTCCTAATATATTCCGGCTAGTTTTTAGTATTTATTACTTATATTATACCTATATCTATATTAATAATATAGTCTGGAAGTATTATATAGGCTATGGCCAATATTAGAACTATTATTATTAGGCAGTCTTTAAATAGAAATAGTAGATTAAATCTATCTATTAATATAGGCTTTAATATAGTAGCTTATTTGTCTTTTTTCTTAGTTAGGATAGTAATATTTGGCTTAATTATACCGTTTCTAAGCTACTTAATTAATTTCTGGGCTTTTTCGAGCTTAATATATATATTCTCAAGTTATCTTTCTATAATAGAAACTTATATATTAAGGATAGCTACTTAAGCTACTTTATTATTAAATTCCCGGGCTTTAAACTATATGATTTTGGTTTTATAAGAGCTTCTAAGAAGTTTTCTAATTTCCTAAATAGTATTATATATTAATTTATTAATACTTATAAGATATTACTTTTTTAATTTAGCTTTTAAGATTATTTACTAGCTCTTGGTTTTAGACTAGTATTTTATATAATAACTAGTATTTAGTACTATATATCTTCTAGTTATAATAGGTGTTTTAATACTAGTTTAGCTACCTTTATTATAGTTAGAGTTTCCTTTATTACTAGAAGTCTTTCTATCCTTAGTCTTTTTATTATTGGAATTCTTACTATTATTTAATATCTTATATTTCTTAAATAAGCTAGCCTTACTCTTTTTGACTTTCTTAGTATTTAGCTCTATAAGATTAATAAAATAGCCCTTATTAGTACTATTTATTTCGCTTATTAGACTATTAGACTTATTATTACTAATAATTAAAACCTTTATTTTATTATTCTTAAAATATTTTATTAAAATATTCTCTATAGTAATTTCAAATATATTCTTAAAAGTAATACAGGCTATATTTTATATATTAATCTATTCTTAAATAAGAAAATTACTATTTTTATTTATAAAGATAATTTAGCTAATAATTATATTAATAATAATAGTAATTACTAAACTTAAAATACTATTACTATTACTTAAGTTATCTAGAATCTAGTAAGTAGCCTTATTTAGTCCGGCTATAGATAATATATTACCGGGATTTCTTATTTATTTCGTTTTTATTAATAGTTTTATTAAGGTAATAGTAGTAATATAAATAATTAAGATTATAAAAATTAAAGTAATTAGAAAGGTTTTCCTTAATTTTTAATAATATTTCAAACTAATATAGGCAAGTATTTATTTTTAGCTTAGCTTTAAGAATTTGCTTTTTT